TTGGCCCTCTTCAGGACTGTGTTCAGACTGTTCAATCTAAACAAATCCTCTCTTTTGCTTATGTCCTTGGTGGAATTCAGCTCTGCTGACCACGTTTTATTCCAGCCTTCAAGCCTTTTTTTGTGATGGCACAGATCCTTGGTCCTCCTTTAGATGATGAATATTCTGTTCTTCTCAATTGCTTTTCTTGGCTTCTCCTCCCACACTTTCCCCTAACATGCTGGGAGATCAGCAGCCTCTATCCCCTGCCTTATTTTCTCCATGCTCCTTGAGAGATCTTATTCCTCTGGTTCAGACTGCCACTGATAAGCACCTGGCACCCAAATCCACAGCTCCAGTCCAGGCTTCATTCCTTGTCTCCAAAATGATTTATTTAACTGCCTTCTGTTTATCCCAACTTGTATTTTGTACAGCTGCTTCAAATTTGTTGTGTCCAAAATGGAGCTCATTTTCATCCCCACAAACCAAACCTGTTCTTCCTATTGTATTGTCTCCATTGGTATAAAACACTGCTTTATCCAGTTGGAAAACTGACAGTCTTCTGTGACTCTGCTTTTCTCTCTCTCTCTCTTTTTTTCTCCTAAAACCTAATTTAAGAACAATTCAGAATCTCTCCTTTATACCCCTCCTAGTCGTCTCTTCTGCTACTGATTTACTTTAGTCTCTCCTCATTTCAAACCTGGATTATTGCAGCAGCTTCTAACTGAGACCCCTTTTCTCAGTCTTGCAGGTCTCCAAGCCATCCTCCCTGCTGCTGTTACAGTGTCTTTTCCTGAACAGAAATCTAGTCATGTCTCTTTTACTTTAACCTCTTCCATGAGTCTCCACAGCTAAGATTAAATTCCAGGCTTTTTAGATGGCTTTTAAGTTGTTTCATATCTGGTTTTAGCTTTTTAAAAAATGTTCCAGCATATGCTATAGTTCCTCATATGGTTTGACACTTTTGTGTTCTTCACCTGTGTTTTCCTCTATCTGCAAAGCTGGTTTCTCTTTACCATGTAAATAGTTGGGTCCTCCTTAATATTTAGTGCAAGGATCAGGCATTTCTCAGGTGGGGATACACATGGACATCTGTATATGTGAGACTGACATCATTTACTCATATACACCCAGGACATAAATCACCCAACTAATTTAAGGGTGGGGGATGGAAATGTACATATTTTAAGACATTTTAGTGTCTTTGGTTATGTGTATACCATCCTTGAATTATCAGGAATAGCAACACAAGAGTCCTAACACATTGGTTAGGAACTCTTTCACATAGGAGGTCCACAATAAAAACTGATGGTTGAGCAATTGCCTGACACCAGGCTTTCATAGCTCAATGATTCAAGAGTAGGGGTGGGTTAATAGTAGGGAGAGTGCTATGCTTAAAGCTTTAATTTACCCAAAGAAGGGTAAACTAAAAATAGAAGGTTTTGAGTCTGTTGTTGATTTTCTCATTCAGTGTCTTAGAATACTGGTAGAGCAAGCACAGTGGCACCTAGCCCTCAGGTATCAAATACCTCTGGTGGCAAGACAACGAGTAGAAGTTGGGTCTTCCTGGCTAGTCTATGTCTCTTATTTTGGCAAAGTGAATCTACAGGTAAAAGGGCAAGTTTATTATCTTAAAGCTATTCCGTGGTATCACTCTTATGAAGATGAAAGAAAAAGTGGCATGGAAAGAAAACAGATACCTTTTAGAGTCTGAAGACACACAGACTCCAGGGGGAAAGTCTGTTTTGTGACTGTGAGAATGCCTGCTGAACCCCAAGAAAGCTCCAAAAGTATACTTAGTTTTTTTTTTTTTTGTAGTTGACAGAGTGAAAGGCGGTTGGGATAGAGATGAAAGCCGTGTTAAATAGAATAGAAGGCTTGATTCTTTCTAAGTATGTAGTGCAATTTGCTAATAAAACCACTTATTTATTTTAGTGAAGCCATAGGTTTAGCCAGACTTTGGTTTTATAGGTTTAATGTAATTTCAGCATCATTTATTATAATCTAGCTCTTAAAGTTTTTGACCTCAAGAATCTTGAGAAGAAATAAAGTAGAAAATATATTGGACAGCTAAAAAGTGGAGATGAAATTTTTAGTGGAAGTTTCACAGTAAAGAGTAAGTTGGAAGCAGATTTTAGCTTTGTTCTCAAATTAATTTTAGTCTGAGAGAGTTTTTAGAGTAACAAACCTATTTGCTTGGCTGTATAAAATGTCAAACTCTAGGCAGGCAGTCAAACTCCCTAATCCTGTTGGGTTTCCTCCCTTGAATAGAAAGGAAAAAGCCGGAGGACTTGGTAGGGCTGCTCTGGAGAATAATTTTAAATTAGTGTGACTTTGAAGTAGAGCTCCTGTTGATCCCACTAAATCTCTACTAGAGGAGAATAGCCGCCACCTAATTGCTGAGGTTTAAAGTGTTACACAGCAAAAACACTGTTTGTTAGAATGACTTGAGAAAATCTGCTCTTGCCATCAGCACTCCTTCTTGGCAGCTCAATACTTGGATTGCTTGCATCACTCTCAAACCTGCCCTGTTGTAGAGGTTCCGCTGAATCCATCCAGATGGAGAATCTTGTATGTCAAAGGAATCTCAGGTCCAACTAGCTTCTCTCTCAGGAATCCATTTACAGGTATAGAAAAGCCAACGATTTCCTCATCTCTGTGCTAAAGCAATATAGGGTTTTCGAACTCTGTATTGCAGACATGAAACCATATTAAATTGATTTTATAGTTTTTTGTTGTTAAAGTTTTTGAAAATTATGATTACACTTTAAGTTCTGGGATACATGTGCAGAACCTGCAGGTTTGTTACACAGGTATACACATGCCATGGTGGTTTGCTGCACCTATCAACTCATTATCTACGTTAGGTATTTCTCTTAATGCTATTTCTCCTCTAGCCTCCTCACCCCACTGACAGGCCCTGAAGTGTGATGTTCCCGTCCTTGTGTCCATGTATTCTCATTGTTCAACTCCCACTTATGAGTGAGAACACGTGGTGTTTGCTTTTCTGTTCCTGTGTTAGTTTGCTGAGAACGATGGTATCTAGCTTCATCCATGTCCCTGCAAAGAACATGAACTCATCCTTTTTTATGGCTGCATAGTATTCCATGGTGTATATGTGCTACATTTTCTTTCTTTCCCTTTCCTCCAGTTCCTCCATTCCCTCCCTTCCTCTCTCCCTCCCTCCCTCCCTCCCTCCCTCCCTCCCTCCCTTCCTTCCTTCCTTCCTTCCTTCCTTCCTTCCTTCCTTCCTTCTTTCCATTGCTTTAAGTTTTAATGTTTCTTTTCCTAAGACAGCCTAGCTTGCACTCTACTTGGATAAATTTTACAAGCTAGTTTTCTAGTGCTTCTAGTTTTAAACTTTAAATATGTTTCTGATGACAAGGAATGCTGCAGAAATACTCTAGTTCAACAAAGAGTCATAATCACAAAATGTTTATCCATTCTACAGTGTTTCAGAATTACCAGTCTATTTTTAAACACAAAGTAGATATAGACGCTAATGGTGGTTAATCTGATATGTTTCTCATGGCAAACTGTTGTTCATACAACACTTGTGCTGGAAGGGGAAGGCACAGGATTTCCTACAATAGAGAGTTCTTTTTGTACAAATTAATTTATGCACATTTAATTTAGTGTGCATAACCTCAAAACTGAAGTATTATTCCAGCTTATAAAAACCACTGCATAACTTTTATTCAAGTTTTAACAATACAAAGTTTTCTCCCTAAAGGGGCTCAAAATAGGTGTTCGTCACTGCCTACATCTAAGATAAAGAGATTCTAAACCAAATTGAACAGTTTAGACATATTATTAAAGGTGTTCTAACCATTAGTAGATTTGTACATCTACTCAAATCTCTTCATTGGTCTTGATTCAGCTGTACATATGTGCCAAGTTCCATTTTAGAAGTTTTCACATCATTTTCATAGAAAACAAAGTTTGAAAGCAAGTAATATTTAAACACAGTAGAGTATTCTACCACAACTAAAACTTTTTTATTCTTCTTTATTGCACTCAACAAAATCTAAAAATGAACTATGCTGTAGATTTACCTCATGCAAATATCTTTATGTTATCTCTGAAATGGAAAAGGATGGCCTTTTAAGCACATTTTACTGTTTTATACTATTATGGCAACTTGTGTATTGCAGCACAGTCCATTTTGAGGAAAATTTATAATTTATTTCATGCAGAAATTGACACAAATTAGTTTTGATGATATGGAAAGCTTTTCATAGCAACAAATATTCATCTGGTGCAAATGCACAGGGAAACCTTCCTGAAAAGTTCTCCAACTTGAGAAACAACGAAAAAAAAGATATACTAGGTAAAGTAAATAAAAGCTAAAAACTAAAAAAAGATAAAAATAGAAAAAGGTGTGGGGTTGTGGGAAGGAGGCAGGAAAGGGAGAAATAGAAAGCACAGGCTGCAGAGTAAACCAGTATCTGCTGCTAAACCAGTCTTTGTTTTAATGTCCAGTGTACGTTAACATGTATAAATCTCATTTTGATGATTTACTAGGTTCGTTATCAGCCCCCTGAAGGTGAATCAAGCTTGCATGTGTTCACATACAGCACCACGACCACAGTCTCGTACACAGTCACTCCAGGACTAGGAGTCTGCTTCATGAGTGAAGAGCCCTAGATTTCAAAGATGAACCTGGCTCTCCATCACTGAGCCAGACGTTCATTCAACTTTATCCATTCACACACTGCTTCATAGCAAGACCTTGGCTCATTTTTCTTTGACTTACATGAGCAGCCTATTCTCTTTTATGCTTTTATGCTTGAAGGTGACAGTACTACACTTTCCCCTCAACTGATACAGAGTAAGTCAATCTTCTTTCTTAGGTGCTGATGATCTGTAACTTGTAGCCTTTTTTACTTTCAACAATGTAAATAATCATTCATGTAAAGTTTTCATTACGTTTTGCCACTTGTTCCCACTTGCACCCACTAGCCATCTTGACCTCATTTGGGTATTTTCTGAAATTCCAAATGAAATCTTCACATTTTCTTTCCTGATTTAATGCTGCAGCAGATCCCATGAGCCAAGCTTGATGGATCAAACCTGTGTGTGTGTGTGTGTGTGTGTGTGTGTGTGTGTGTGTGTATACATATGTATACATATATATATATCTCAGTGCTGCATTGTACCTAACATCCACAACTTCCACAATATCTTTCTAAAACTGAAACCCTTCTGTTGATATATTGGCAGATGAATTGAAATCAAATGTTCCCCCTTGAATTGCTTCTGGAACAAAGCTAGGGTATTTATCAATATCATCTGTAGAGAAGAACTGATCAGTGATATCATAGGACAATTTGTAGATGTCTTCATTTTCATGATTTTGAAGTTGTTCCATTTTCTCCGGCCCTCTGCATTCTTCGATAAGATTGCCTATGGTTTCTGCCTCATCTTCAGCCATTTTAAATACATTACTTAGTCCATCGAGTACTACTTGCACAACTTGTACCTCTTTTACAGTTAGCATTGCAAAAAGATGGGATAACATTTTGTTGGATAAGGTAAGCCACTTGATCTTTCCTTCCACTAATTGTGACATTACCTATGGCCCAAGCAACTTCTTTCTGAGTGCCAAAATCCCCCTTTTAAGAACTGTTGTATAAATCATCCTCTTTACCTGCTATTATTTCAGTGTATATTTCCTAAGAGCAAAAATATTCTCATGTACATTCAAAGTAGAGTGAATTATCAGCAGCTTTGGGACATTTAATATTGACATAGCACTTTAATATACAACCCGTATTCCAGTTCTGCCAATTCTCCCAATAATATCCTTTACAGCATTCCCTCCTCCCCAGTACAATTTGGAAACTGAAACCATATATTGCTTTCAGTTGTCATATCTCTTTAGTTGCCTTTCTTTGTCTTTTGTTTCATTGCTGTATTGCTATATTTTGGAAAATACAGGCCAGATGGCACATCCAGACTATGGAATGTTATTCAACACTAAAAAATGAGCTATCAAGTCATAAAAAGACATAGGGGAAACTTAAATGCATAATACTAAGTGAAACAAGCTGATTTGAATAGGATACACACTGTACAATTCCAAGTATAGGACATTCTAGAAAGCAAAACTATGGAGACAATAAAAAGATCAGTTGTTGCCACAGATTGGGATGGGGGAGGGATAAATAGAGCACATAGGATTTTTAGGGTAGTGGTACTACTCTGAATGATACTACAATGATGAATACATGTCATTATACATTTGTTCAAACTCATGGTATATAAAACACTGTTAGGGGTTGACTCTGTGTCCACACCCAAATCTCATGTTGACTTGTAATCCCTACATGTCAGGGGAGAGACCTTGTGGGAAGTGATTAAATCATGGTGGTGCAGATTTTCCCTGTGCTGTTCTCATAATAGTGATGAACTTCTCATAAGATACGATGGTTTAAAAGTGTGATACATCCCCTGTCACTCTCTGTGTCTCCTGCTCCACTTTTGTAAAAATGTGTGTGGTTCCCTTTTGCTTTCTGCCATAATTCTAAGTTTCCGGAGGCCTCCTAGTCATGCTTCTTGTTAAGCCTGCATAACTGTGAGTTAATTAAGCCTCTTTATAAATTACCTAGTCTCAGTAGCTATTTATAGCAGTGTGAGAATGGACTAAAGAAAACACCAAGAGTGAACTGTGATCTAAAAATACCGACTTTGGGTGGTAATAATGTGTCAATGTAGGCTCATCTATTGTAACCAATGTACCACTCTCGGGGGAGGGGGTCTGTTGATAACAGGAGAGGCTAGGCATGTGCGGGGGCACAAGGTATAAAGAAAATCTCCTTGCCACTGTCTCAATTGTGCTGTGAACATAAAATAGCTTTTAAAAATAAAGTATGCTTTTTAAAAAAAAAGAATATGTGACAGTAATTTTAGAGAATGATCCTCAAGTTTTGGTTTCTGTGATGTTTCCTCATGATTAGATTTAGTTTTTACTTTATTTTGGTGGGAAATAAAATAAAAAATAAACTAGTTTTAGGATAACAGGATAGCCATGTGGAAAAAAATACACATCAGGTAAATTCTAAGTGTATTTGAGATTTACCATACAAATGAAACTATACAATTATCAGCTAAAAACATGGATGAATTTCTCTATAACTTAGGAATGAGGAAAAAATTTTACAATTCAAAATATGTAAGCAATATCAGTTGATAAACACGGAACAAAAAACTGTTTTTGTGCCCCTGCTCCCAAAATAAGGAAAATGGCAAACTGGCAAAATATTTGCAACTTCTATCACAGATAAAGGATTGATATTCTATTATTCAAGGGATTCTACATACAAAAAAAAACCCCCAACAATTCTACAGAAAAATAAATGAGATATTGATAACTCACAGCAATTTAAATAGCTTTTAGAAATGTGAAAAGATAGGTAGTCTTATTTATAATAAAATAAATGTAAATTTAAACTATACTAAGATATAACTTCTCAACTATCACACTGGCAGCAATTCAAAAGTTTTACTTTCAATTCTGTCAGTTTGTGGAGAAATAAGTACTCAGGCATTTTGTGTGGGAATGCAAACTATTGCAGACTTTTGACAGTATTTAGCAAAATTATGTATGTACTTAGTTTTTGACCAATCAATTTTACTTCTAGAAATCCGTCCCAAAGACAAAAATGAGCACCCAAGTTAGGCACAAAACAATTTATTAATGTAATGTTTGTAACCAAAAGGTTAGAAACAACTTGTATTCATCAACAGAGGACTGGTTGAATAAATTTTGGTACAGTCACTCAGTGGAGTACTATGTAGTTATACAAATAAATGAGGAGGTCTATATAACTATAAAAAAGTAAAGTAAGTAAGTTTGTTTATATACTTTCATGATCACTAGGATATATTGTTAATATATTGCTAAGTGAAAAAAGCGAATAGAAGTGATCCAAGAAAGGAATATATATATTTGTATATATATACACACATATAGTCTAATATAAATTCTAATATTGAAAGAATACTCAAAAATGAAAAAAGTTACAAATTAAGTCTGAATCTGTAGATTTGACTTTGAAACTATGTATATATTTTATATAGTTATGAAATGAAGTAAAATTTAAAAAATCTATAAAATAGCAAATAAAAAATAAAACCAATGAATCCAATTGAGTATCGAGTTGATGACATCACCACATAAAGACCTATTCCAAGAGACTTTAAAACCCAATACTTTACAACATATCCCTAGTGGTATATATACTTAAAGACTATAAAGATTTATACAACATCTATGCTATAGATTGTCATTGTGTTCTTAATAATCGTATTGTTATTCTGAAACTATTATGCATGTATAATATATGACAAAGAGAATAATTATGTAACTTTATGGTTAGCCAGTATTTTTAAATTTTTTAAAATTATAATTTAAATCTGGGATACATGTACAGAATGTGCAGTATGTTACATAGGTATATGTGTGCCATGGTGACTTGCTGCACTCATCAACCTGTCATCTACATTAGATAGTTCTCCTAATAGTTTCCCTCCCCTAGCTACCACCCCACGATGGGCACCGGTGTGTGATGTTCCCCTCCCCGTGTCCATGTGTTTTCATTGTTCAACTCCCACTTATGAGTGAGAACATGTTGTGTTTGGTTTTCTGTTCCTGTGTTAGTTTGCTGAGCATGATTGTTTCCAACTTCATCCATGTCCCTGCAAAGGACATGAACTCATCATTTTTTAATGGTTGCATAGTATTCTATGGTGTATATGTGCCACATTTTCTTTATCTAGTCTATCATTGATGGACATTTGGGTTGGTTCCAAGTCTTTACTATTATGAACAGTGCTGCAATAAGCATATGTGTGCATGTGTCTTTAGAGCAGAATAATTTATAATCCTTTGGGTATATATCTAGTAATGGGATTGCTGGATCAGATGGTATTTCTAGTTCTAGGTCCTTGAGGAATCACATACTGTCTTCCACAATGGTTGAACTTATTTACAATCCCACCAACAGTGTAAAAAGTGTTCCTATTTCTCCATATCCTCTGCAGTATCTGTTGTTTCCTGACTTTTTAAAGATCACCATTCTAACAGGCACGAGATGGTATCTCATTGTGGTTTTGATTTACATTTCTCTAATAACCAGTGATGATAAGCTTTTTTTCATATGTTTGTTGGCTGCATAAATGTCTTCTTTTGAGAAGTGTCTCTTCATATCCTTCACCCACTTTTTGATAGGGTTTTTTTTTCTTATATATTTGTTTAAGTTATTTGTACATTCTGGATATTAGCCCTTTGTCAGATAGATAGATTACAAAAATTTTCTCCCATTCTGTAGGTTGCCTGTTCACTCGGATGATAGTTTGTTTGCTGTACAGAAGCTCTTTAAGTAGATTTCATTAGTCAATTTTGACTTTTGTTGCCATTGCTTTTGGTGTTTTAAGTAATGAATTCTTTGTCCATGCCTGTGACCTGAATGGTATTGCCTAGGTTTTCTTCTAGAGTTTTTTTGGTTTTAGGTTTTACATTTAAGTCTTTAATCCATCTTGAGTTAATTTTTGTATAAGGTATAAGGAAGGAATCCTGTTTCAGCTCTCTGCCTATAGCTAGCCAGTTTTCCCAACACCATTTATTAAATAGGGAATCCTTTCCCCATTGTTTGTTTTTGTCAGGTTTGTCAAGGATCAGGTGGTTGTAGATGTGATGTTATTTCTGAGTCTTCTGTTCTGTTCCATTGGTCTATATATCTGTTTTGATATCAGTACCATGCTGTTTTGATTACTGTAGCCTTGTAGTATTGAAAGTCCTGGCCAGGGCAATCAGGGAAGAGAAAGAAATAAAGGGTATTCAATTAGAAAAAGAGGAAGTCAAATTGTCTCTGTTGCAGATGACCTGATTTAGAAAACCCCATTGTCTGAGCCCCAAATATCCTTCAGCCATTAAGCAACTTTAGCAAAGTCTTAGGATACAAAATCAACTTGCAAAAATCATTCGGCATTCCTATACACCAGTAATAGACCAACAGCCAAATCATGAGTGAACTCTCTTTCACAATTGCTACAAAGAGAATAAAATACCTGGGAATACAACTCACAAAGGATGTAAAGGACCTCTTCAAGAACTACAAACCACTGCTGAGGGAAATAAGAGAGGACATAAACAAATGGAAAAACATTCCATGCTCATGAATAGGAAGAATCAATATTGTGAAAATGGCCATACTACCCAAAGTAATTTACAGATTCAGTGCTATCCCCATCAAGCTACCATTAACTTTCTTCACAGAATTGGAAAAAAATTACTTTAATTATCACATGGAATCAAAAAAGAACCCGCATAGCCAAAACAATTCTAAGCAAAAAGAATCGAGCTAGAGGCATCATGCTACCTGACCTCAAACTGTACTACAAGGTTAACCAGTATTTTTTTAGCATAAGAGAAAAGAAATACAAATATAAAATCAAAGAAGTTAAGTAAAAACCCCATTATTGTACATTTAAATAGAAAGTATCAGTATTCAATCTGGGAAATGTTGTGGCACCCTATCTTTATTTAAAAAAATTAGCCAAATAGGGTGGTGGTGCTCTGGAGAATGAGGCAGAGGATCACTTGAGCCTG